TAGCAGGCTAAAAAGCTAAAAAGACAAAATGGCCCTATCCTCCAGGAACTGAAGGGTCCAGCGAGGGAATGGTCCATTTGCTCTTCGTCCATATGGAGAAGGACAGGCAGACCAAGTTACAGTGTAGTATGTTAGAAAAGACCTGAATCCTTGCAAATAGGGAATCTGAGCAACCCCAAGCCATGGTGGAGATGAGGGATACAGTAGCCTTTTTTTAGTCGTTTTGGTCACCTGTCAATGGACCTCATTCCTAAGTTTGGGATGCCCCTCCTGAGAAAGAGCCCGTCTCCCATCAGAGGAAGCTTGTCCAGCCGCCTTGTCATTCAGAGCACAGGGCCTCACCTCAGCCTGCACAATCAGATGCATTCACTGAACTCTGAATCCAAAGCTAGTGGTACAGAAACCATGCAGGCTCCTTTTCGCCAATGGAAGGCAGTGGTGGTGGCAGTTGTATCTGGCTCCCCAGTGCAGTGGTAACATATCCAATTTCTAGAACCCAGAATCATCTGTTCCCACCCTGTCATTTTACAAATGCCATGTGGAAATCATCGAAAACCACCCAAATGAGAACAGGCAAAGGCTATTGATTCAGAGATTGGTCTAATGAGGGAGTCACCCATCATCACCTGTATTTTGGCAGAGATGACAAGGCACGCAGGGGAGTGGGAGAGCTTTAGAGCTGAATAAAGAAAAGCTTCAGGTATCCCCTGATTGAAAGCTGTTTTCGTAGGGAAGCTGTAGGCATGCTGACCAGAAGCGGGCAACCTATGTGATTGAGGTTTATATTTTTTACTTTCTCTGGCTGATCCTAAGTTGGAAGCAGGGATGAAAATTAGGGAAGCTCTCAATTATTAATCAAGTCCTGTCCATTTGGGACCAATTGTTACCGGCGTTATTGCTTCCAGGACTCATTGCTAGTGATAATAATCTTACTTCCTGCGAGTCTCACATAGTGAGATAAAATATGAATGCCAGCCGTAGATAGGCTGCCTTCCTAGCCTGTTTACCATAGATAACGGATTGGTTTCCTAGGCTGATTGTTGCAGATTGCGGGTCAGAGTTCTATTTTGAGGGATGACTTGGCCACTGTCTGTCTGTGTATTTAGTCTCTCAGCAGAATATATACTCCCTCCAGAGAGGGGGAGTGGCCTATTTAAGGTCTAACTGCTAATACTAACCAGAGTTGATAGGTCAACCTGAGATTTAGCATATTTATCTTGTCATCTCCAAAGGAACTTATGTTCTGCTTGTTGAAGAAACAAGATTTCGACCTATAGACAAATAAAATTCAACACAGATGTCACAGAGATAAGTTACACCAGAAAGTTAATTGTTAGTGCTGTAGCTTGGCAGGAAGTCTCATCATTTTCCTCTGATAATGGCCAGAACTGCTATTGGTCAGATGGTTTCTCCTTCTCCTTCTCCTTCTCCTTCTCCTTCTCCTTCTCCTTCTCCTTCTCCTTCTCCTTCTCCTTCTCCTTCTCCTTCTCCTTCTCCTTCTC